GTTTTTTTTTTTGTTTTGTTTTTTTTTTTAAATTAGAAATGGCAGATTTAAGCAATCATGTTTAAAAAAAAATTATATTTACAAAATAAGTGTTAGGAGTAATTAAGTAGATAAAGGTTTAGAGTAAATAATGAAGTGTGAGTCAAGGAATACAACAAAATGGCAATTTTTTTTAGTAATTCAAAAGTAAAACTAGGAATAAATGTATATTAAATGGGTGAAGGTTGCTGAAGAGATTCCAGTTTTAAAATATTTGAAAAGACTGGGTGCGACTGCCTGTTAAGTGGTACTGTACAAAGTTGAAAATAAAGCCAGGCTGAAAACATTGAAAATAGAAAAGAAGCAAGGTTAAATAGCAGGATATTAGATGAAGGCAATTTAATTTATAAATAAATAGGAGAGAAGTGAAGGTCAAGATGAGCAGTGAACTTTTAATAGAGGCTTTCGGAACTACTGTAATTAGGGTATTGGAGCTTGATATTAAACTTAAGGAAAAAACCCACTAATTGTAAATCTCACCAAGCTTCTCGCAAACTCATGATATTAAACCCAGAGTATCTGAATCTGGCATCTAAAATTCAGTTTAACCTTCTCTGTGGCACTAAATGCCCTTTGCAAAAGGCTGTCATCTTCTGTTTTGTTTGTTTGCCAGGTTCACTTGTGAGATGATGTGAATTATTTTTTCCCACGTATCCTTGTGTCTGTACTGATGCACAGTGAATATGGTAGACTTGTCTTTTACGGATGCTTTTGCTGGACAGTTAGGGAATGAAAAGTGATGGGTAATATATCTTTTCTTTGAGTCGTTACTGAAACACCTTCTTTATAGCATACATTCACTTTGTGTTCTCTCTCTCTCTCTCTCTCTCTCTCTCTCTCTCTCTCTCTCTCTCTGTTGGCAGCAATTGAACCACCCCAATATAATTAAGTATTTGGATTCTTTTATTGAAGACAATGAATTGAACATTGTTTTGGAACTGGCAGATGCAGGTGATCTCTCTCAGATGATTAAGGTAAGGATGTGTCAATTTTTGAGGCTGAATAGGTGCATCATATTATTGTGAAGGTTCAGTGGATGGATGCAGGCAGATCTCTACTGCATGCTGGGAGCCTGATTCCCTCTTGTTTACAATTTTGAACATGGGGAGCTATTTCATTAGTCAGTGAAGTCCTGTGGTGTAAAAATATTGGTGGTAGGGAATCTGTCCCTTCCTCCCCAAGTTAAAATGTGTGCATTTATATGATACAGTTCCCTGATTGCATAAGTATGTAGGGTGGTTGTTTAACTTGTTTTCAGTCGTCTCCCCGCTGAGTATCAATGCCAGTGCTTAATTCAACATGTGAAGAAAAGCAGCAGGAGAAGCATTTCTGAGATCACTCCCAAAATAAAACCAGTGCTCAGTTGAGACCCCCAGTTCAGTGTCTTTGCCCTTCGTGTACTGTTGCCTCCTGGGTGTGCGTGCATCTACCTTGCACAAGGTCACTTCAGCCAAGATTTCAAGAGGCACAAAACAAGAACTCTTCCTAACTGAAAGGAAAACAGAAAACAAGCCAAAAAATAAGTCCCCCTCATCCCTTGTTAGTAATAGTGACATGATCCAGGGAAGGATAGAAAAACTATCAAAAAGCATTGTGAATGAATAGTGTGGGGAATGAACTTCACTAGGGTTTCAAAGGTAGGTAATCAACATTGATTTGTTTTAATGCTTGTTTAAAAATGCGAGGAAGATCAAAATCTAATGGACACTTTTTTAAATGTGCCTTTTTAATGTGATCATTTCTTTATGGATTAAATAATGAAACTACTGCAGACAGGAAAAGGTGATATGGCAGACACCTGGTTTTATTTCAGAACCTGAGCCTAAGAATTGAGACACTTCTGGCTTTTATCCTTGTTGAAGCAACTTCAGGAGTTGGGAAGCAACCAAAAGTAATTATGATGCATTAAATGCATTTGCCATTCTGGATCCTTATTACAAATTCCTTCCCCTTCATTTTGTGAAACTTTTGAGCATGGAGGCAGTGCTATCCCTGGCTTTACCCCTGTCTGTAGAATTTGGCCCTGGGACAATTAGCACAAGCCTCAGCTGCCTGCAGAACAAAACACAAAGCTCCCTTATCTGACACAGCTTTCCTTCTCTGGCTCCTGCTGTACAAGCACAGGAAGAGATGGAAGGAGGAATAGGACTAAATGTGTTTGGTTTAAAAAAAACAAGCAAGTGGTGGGGGAAGAGATTCCTTTTTGTATCAAGCATTTTTTCTAAAGGTTTCCTACCAGGAAACTTGGTCCAGGACCTCATCCAGCTTTCACTGGACTAGAAAGCAGGGAATTCATGTTTTGCACCATTTGTACTTAGGCTTTTAGTTGGAGTATGAAAGCTAGCTCCAGACCTAGGGGTGACAGCACGCTCTCTTACTGCAGCCATCACTGGGGATTGTGGACTGAACTGGGTTTTAAGCCTCTCTCTTACTGCCACTTCATAAATTCAAAGTGCTCTGATTTTTCTGGAGCAACAGGTAGCCTATTAGCATGTGTGAAGTTTGTCCTGCTCTTAGTATCGCTCCTCATGTGCTTTCTGAGCGGATGGCTTGGAGCTGTCTTAGAATCTTTGGGTTCTTCTGATGGGCAGAATCTCCCGGCCTGCCTTGTCCTGCACCCCTCATTTCTCCTCCTCCCGCTCCTGCGGTGCAGTCCTCTGGTGCCCTGTGGGACCAGCACACAAATACATTTTGAACTTGCAGGAATTTCATTAGTCTTTCTCCTCCAGCAATAGCAGTTTTGCTTTTTTCTGCCCTGCTGTTAAAGTTGATTCCAGTTCCATGTATTTGCAAGATTCGTGCGTTTTTCCCCTTAATTTGTTTAAATTAGCTGCTTTCTTTTCCATCGTTTTTCTCTGCTTTTTTTCTTCTTGTTCTTCCAGTGTTTTGCATTTTCTTTCTCTGGCCTTCGTGAGCTGCCCCTTGTTTCCCTGTGTTTTATATAGTTGCTCTCCCCTCTGTCTTCTGTGCAGGGAGGTGAAGTTGCCCTCTCCCCTGGGAACATCGGGCTCTCACAAGACCCTTGGGAATCCGAATGCTTCACACTGTAGGTCTCTCCTCGACTGTTGAATTGCAAGAAACATTCATGTACCCTTTGGCTGGCCTTGCAAAACGTCTTAAAAATGTTCTGTCCCCAATCACAAAACCTGCCTGTTTGTCCTTTGCCTTGAGGATTAACCAAGAAAAAGAACAAACTGTCTGTCAAAAAATGTTGCTCAGTCCAGGAAGTGAGCTTATATAATTTTGCAAGGCTGGTTTACCCATCTGTGATTGATGGGCACATTTAATTATTGTCGGGTAACTACCCCTGTAGCCTGTCTGCTATACCGAAGACATTTCAGAAAGTGTATTGACTTTCCTTCACAACAGGGAGTTGGGATTGAGAAAATTTTCAAGTGCTTGCTCTTCTCTTATGTTGCTCTTAGGAATACATGTACTGTTGGAAACCAGCTTTAGTTAAGCTGTTATCACCTGCTCTTATATTTTCTTTGACATGTTAATCTTTAGACAGACATCCCCTGTGAGAACAGATGTGGTATATCAAGTTTGTTAGCACTCTCAACCTTCTCTCCATGTTTTACCTGGTTTTGCCATCATTATTCTGTAATTATCATAAATGAACATTTTGGAAAGTTCACCTCCTCCTTGTTGTTGCAGTTAAAATATCTTATTAACAGATTTGTTTTCTTTGCCAGCACAGCTAAGAGGCACCAGGCCAAAGGCTGTCAAACAAGTTACCCATTTAGCCCATGGTTGGTGGCTAAATTTACAGTACCAGTGAAAATCTCCTCTCTCTTTCTGAGAAGGAATTCCCTGAAGGGGCCAGGAGCTGGAAATAGACATTTGGGCTAGCCCTCAAAACCTTCTCTGCAGCCACTGCCCTTAGCCACAATCTGCTAGCACTGCGAAGAGTCACATAACTGTATCTGCCTCCCAGCTGACTTAATGGGTGAGAGTGACTCAAAAAGGTATATGTGGATGCTAACACCATTATGTCTCAAATGTGTCGTACATTCACGCTGCAGGCAGCTTCGTACAATGGCCTGCGTTAAAGAGACATTTGAGAGATTCATTCTTGAATGTGGTAGGGAGAGGAAAGAGGAGACTAGACCCTTGTGGGAGATGGCAGGGAAGGTCATTAATATATCTCCCTTGCATATGCCCTTAACATTGCCTTTCTTCCTGCGTACTGCATTGTACCTTTTCCCAGCAGACCCCAGAACACAGCCAGGTTTGTCAGAGGCTTTCCAGTACTTGTGTCTAAAGCCTGGGAGATAAAAAATGACCATCCTGAAAGGCAGGGCTGGCAGCAACCATCCTGCTGTGCAAATCTTGAACTGGAATCTGCTTTGCTTAAAAAAAAAAAAAAAAAGCTGTTTGTCTTCGTAGCCTCAGATTTCAACACCGCTGTCTGGTGACAATAAAACACAGGTTATTTTGCCATCTCAAGGTCCTGGCTTAATGTTTCCCAAGAATAATAAGTATGACTACTTGTCTTTCAGTATTAATTGTTTTACTTTGTAATGTCTCCACTTCCTGCTAATTATCCCTTTTACTCAAATGCTGGTGATATTAGTTTGAGAACTTGGACAAGACCATGAGGCAGCCAATCCTGAATCCTTTGTGGCCTTGTTTTTCTCCCCCCCCCCCAATCATTATGGATGAAACAAAGGCACGCTTTTTTTTTTTCTCAAAATACTAAAAACGGTGTATTTTAATTTGTGACAAAAATACTGGTTGAATTATAGTCATGAGAAAATTTAAAAAAATACAAACAAGAATAGAAAAAGCAAGCGAGACTCCATACGAATTATAGCATTGGTTGCTTTAGGGATCCTGCAATTTCCAGCCTGCACCATGACAGAATAGGTGAGGTTTTGTATCCATCTCCTTTGTCTCAATTCATTGGCGTCAAATGCCAGTCAGGAGCAAAACGCTAGAACCAGTTCAGCTTAATAATCCTATTAAGAAATTCTTGGTTGAAGAATACTGTTTCTCAGCCAGTGCCTGATGCTGAAACAAGAGGGACTGGGTTTTGTAGCACTTAAATAAAATCCAGATATTAGTGGATCAGGTTGTTTGGTTTGCCTCCCCTGTTAAGACGTATGTTCGAATCTTCAGCTTCAGGGAGGCGGCAGGAACAGCAATAACAACACTCTGAAGGTGTGAGAGTGATAAAAACAGGGACTGTCTTTGTCATGCCCCTGTCGCCTGCATTATTTATGAGGTATTATAAAGCTGATGTAACAGAGTGTTGCTGTATAACCCACTGGAGAATTTTGGCTTTCTGGTAAATGTCAGGCTAATCTTATTGGACATGACATTTAGAAAATTACCACTTGTGGTCTAGCATATCCTCTCTTAAATACTTTAATGAGAATTAAGCTAATATTATCGTGTAAATAACACTTTATCCATCACCCTCTGCAGTTCTGCTGCACTCCACGCTCGGCTTTAGGTTTGAATCTGTTGCAAGCTGTCAGATTTGCCTCTTGGTGAATTGCAGAGTCACCCCCTTTCACAGCTGATCTGGAAGATAAATTTTTGCCATTAGTTGAGTCAAACGAGACCCAGTAACAGTATTTCACATAAAATGTAAAATGTCACAACAGGCATCAGATGTGTGTATCAAGAGGGACAAGTACCAGATGTATGAAACAGTCCTCTTTCAACCAATTTTCTCCCTTATGCCTCTTCTCTCTCTCTTTCTCCCTCCCCCTACCCCACCAGTAAGAGCCTTAGAATGGAATAGTGCAAAACAAATGCAGTTTTCGATTGCCGTGCCATGAGGATGTGCAGCACTTCCCAGATAAATCAAACCACAAGCCCCTGGCCAGGGAAGAATGCCACTTATGTTATACCAAAAGTGGCAAGGGATGGCCATAAGCATTAAACAAGTGGAAGTCTACTGTGTGCATGTGTGTGTTTTACTGAACCTGCAGAGAACTGGCTTAGTACGTAGTGCGAGAACTAGGAAAGAAGGCCCATCTATCAAAAGAAAGGAGTTGGAGGCAGAGGAAGGGGGGGGGGGGCGGGGGGAGGTGGTTTCATGTGTTCAACAATATCTGGCCTTGATTTAGTTGTTTAAGTGGGATATACATCTAGTCCCCCAGAATAGTCACACACCTAGTATGGTGTGTTCCACACAAGTAGACAAAAGCTTTTTATAGCCAAGATATTGGGGGTGATCGTGATCTGGTTGTGGTCTGATAGTGCCCAGGGCACCAAGGGGTTGGAGTCCACTGTTCTTGGCAGTTTATAAGTGTGTAATACGGGAGTTTGTCTGACAGTGCTTATAATACACATTTCTTCTTCTGGACAAACTCTGAATTTGGTTTTCTTTGGAAACGGCTTTCCTAAGGGCTATGCCCATATCTGATGCATCTGGTCACAGAAGAATTGTAGATAATTCCATGACCACTTTTTAAAAAGGGTTACATTATTTTTTCTTAATGAACTGTACAGGAATAATGAACATCTACATGGGAGGTTTTTTTAAAATTAAAAAAACCCCAGTCGTTGTTACTTAAGGCAAAATACTTCAGACATTTGTTGTTTTGAGGCATTAAATATGTTTTGCAAGGTAATTAAGGAGATTAATGCTAATTATAATTGGTGTCCATTCAAAAATGTCAAACCTATTTAAGCATATTTTTCATAATGGTTGTTAATTAGTGAATTGCATTGAAGTTTACATACACGGGGAAGGAGTTAAATGCTAATCGGGAGACAAGTCATGCTGCTGTGGATCTAGAGGATGTGAGCAATCGGCTGTTGACTAACACGAGTCCTGGAGCGCGACAGAGATGCTGCTTCTTCACTGATATATTTTTTTATTTATTTCCTCCCACAGTATTTTAAAAAGCAGAAACGGTTAATCCCGGAAAGGACGGTGTGGAAATATTTTGTGCAGTTGTGCAGTGCTGTTGAACACATGCACTCCCGCAGGGTGATGCACAGAGGTAACATTAATTCCGTCTCTTTTCACTGAATAATAATATAATGTTCCAATTAGTAAGCGCCTACATTCAAAAACAATTATGCTGATGTTCAGCCAATGCATGTTGAGAGAGAGAGACTGGTGTTTGCAAGATGGATTTCTCCCCGTGTCTTTTGCTTCATTGTTAAAGGATTCAGTCCGAAGTGAGCGTGGCATTATGAAGATGAGCTGTTTTGTATTCCAGACACTGATATTAAGTAGAAGTGCCAAACTTGCCATTAGAAAAGTATCAGAAGTAAAATGCTGAGACCAGTGGATGCAGTGAACTCTAAGAAATAATCTTCATTGTATTAACTGTGACCGTGGAGAGTTTAGGGGAGTTTTGTCTTGCAGGCTTTTCTGAAATACTGATATAAAAATGTTCCAGGCTCTCCCCCTCTCCTTTCCTCTTTTTAACCCCATTCTAAAATTGTCATTAATTACTTCTATAGCACTTGTTTTAAACCTTCTCCTCACTTCAGGCTCTATCCAAAAATTAGCATTGCTGCTTCCAGTAGAAATGAAATGTTTCCTGAAGGACTTGCCCCAGGAAGTGCAGTGCCCCGCAAAGGCACTAATACCAGTCTCTGCTGCTCATTAATTCTTTCCCTTTGAGTGGCAAATGCCTGACAAGATTCACCAGCAAAGACAGAGGCAGCGTTTGCTCCTACATAGGAGTCTCCTCCCACAGCCTTCCACTTATGCCTAATTTAAGTCTACAATTGGCAGCTCAGACCTGGAGTGTAGCGTCTTTAGTCAGCTATAGTTCAGGGAGGAAGAGGGCTCACGAGGATGATCTAGCGTGCACGGCATAATTTGGAGTTCGGTGAAGACTAGCTGGGCTCCAGTTGCTCGTCTAGTCCAATACAGGTCAAAACCTTGTGTGTGGAGCTTTTGGTGGTGGAATGAGTGACTGGTCAAGCTGGTGCATTTGGCAGAAGGAGTGCCTGGCCTTGTGAGGTCAGCTGTGTGCGCTGCTGGCTGGGGTACCTACCACATGCCTAAGTTTTTTAGTTGCCTTACATCACAGCCCATGAGAGAGAGTCCCACCTACTCCTCTTGCCTGTGGATCAGGGTGTGCTTCGATATCTAAGAACAGAGGTGTCAGGAGCCCCCATCACTTTAGAATGGGAGATCCCACACTTGAACACTGGGCTCTTCTCCTTTATTTTAGACTTACTAAATTTAGCCTTTGCTAGCAGGCATTTGGTTATAACCACAGGTTCTGTTAGCAAGCAGCTTCAGCCCATGGCAGTGCATCTTCAATGCGAGTGGCACACAAGATTTGTGTTAAACATGTATAGTGACTCTGAGGAACTGCTGTTCAGGCAACAGATTGTTAAGGAAAGGGAAGGAATGGGAGAATGAACTGCGTAGGAGCCCAGCCTTGTGAAATACTCTCCCCAGAATGTCCCCAAACATACTGAAAATAATCTGGCTCGTTCTTTATGAAGGACAGCCCCAGTGTGCTGGCCCTCACAGCTATTTAAGAGAGAACTCAGCAGAGACAGTAGAGTCCACGTCTGCTGATGGCCAGACGATGCCTTCAACTCAGCAGATCCCAGTAGCATTCTCCTTTGCAAATATGCATGTTAAATGTCCTCCAGAATATTGAACTTCTCTAGAAAGTGCTTTCCCATTCACAAAAAAATGAAGTGGTTAGGGAACAGAAGATTCAGCTTTGATCTGAAGGGAAAGTCAAGTATAATAGTTCTCCCTGTGAACGTGGCATTTCCAAAGGGAAGGTGGACTTAAATATTTCTTTGATTTCCATGAGTGAAAGAGGTTACCTCTTCTTGTTATGCTGTTTCCCTACAACTTTTCCCTCGCTGGTATTTCTAATGCGCTGAGGAGTATACTCAGGTTTTTTATGTAACTTGAAGTCTTGGAAGAATCAGCCCATCAAAGCTGCGAGGAAACATAGTTCTGATTTGAGTGTCTCTCTTGTGCAGAGGAGGCTCCAGGCTATGTTTCTGTTGCAGTATTAGAACCAGATAACCTTTTGTGGCTTTGACCTTCTCCTTTTCCCTTCTTGCAGACATAAAACCAGCCAATGTGTTTATAACAGCCACAGGTGTGGTGAAGCTGGGAGATCTCGGATTAGGCCGCTTTTTTAGTTCTAAAACCACTGCAGCACATTCCTTAGGTAAGACAGCATTTACAGACCTTAACAGTCCTTGCACAATATATTATGACGTTCAAATAGCAGCATCTACCGTCTTCATACAACAACAAGGTTGGTTCAGCGAGCATTGCTGCTGTGTTGTCTATGATGTGTGTTTTCGGTGCTGTTGATATATGCTGAGTTCCTTCATGCAACTTTTAAATAGGTCTCTTTTTGTTAATTAAACTTCACTTGACACACTTATATTCTGAAAAATTGTGCCGAAAAATGTACTGGAAAATTATATTCTGAAAAATGGTAAGCATAGTGTCTTTACAGTAAACTGCCTGGGCGGTTGTTTGCACTTTCCTCTACCTAGGTAACACAGTGAGGTGCCTGTATTGTGTCTAGGGGATCCGGAAACAAAAATAAGAACCAAAAAAATTATCCTCTCTGCTTCCCTAACCTGGTTCTCATGCTGATACCGCCAGTTGCAGCACCAGCTTCTTTTGCTGATGTCGACCAGGTAGCTGCCTGTGAGTTGAGCTTGTAGCTCCTGTGTGAGAACAGGAAACCCTTGCCCTTTACTTCTTTCAAGCAGGAACTTTTTCCAGTGGCCACATGAGTGCTTAAAGTACCATACAACTCCAAGGCCTGAGCTGAGTTTCAAGTGAAGATTTGTGTTTTCTAAATACATAAGAAAGTTGACAGTATTTTGGTGTCAAGGTGATATAATGTTTTCATAATGGGCTGGGGAAGTTAGCCCCATGCGACTGAAGTATTCCATACCGTTATTCTCCATCTGCCGATAGTAGCCCCCCACCCCCGGGTGGTGACGGCTGTCTTTCATAACGCTCGCATGTCTGCAAAAGTACCGGTGACCTTCCTGTCTTCAGAAGGAAGGATGCCACCATAAACCTGGTCACCAGCAAACCTGCAGTCTCTAAAGCATACAGCACAGAACTTCAGAGGGAAAAATACCTATCGGCTGGACAGGTTTTAACAGCACTGAGACAGGGTAATGCTCAGGCAGAGATGGAGAAGAACCAAATGGAAAGCTGCAGGGTGTCACTTGGCAAATCTTTTACGTCTGTCCCAAGGAATAAATAGGCACTCTGGCTCCCGGGCTGTCAACTGGGCATTTCTCATCAGCCTCCAGTTCACTTCATGGGCAAGGGCTGAGCCTTAAGAAGCCTCTGCAGGATCTGCCTCTCATATGGTTGTGTTGCAGGAGGGATACACCCATACCTTACACACTAAAACTCCTGGTTTTGGGACACAACACTGTTAGTGCCTGCGTATCTGCTGTAGTTTCCACTTGTGATCAGAAGAGGCCAGCTACTTGCCATATGTGAAGTCACATGCTTTTTGCCCCACAGAACCTACAGTGCTGAATAATCAGATATCCGGAAAGGATGTGGAATCAATATGGAGCTAATTCTCTGGCAGATTGTTTTGTTGGCTTTCCAAAGACGTATATTTGCAGTCTCTGTGGCAACATTGCTCCTTATCCCAGTTAGGTAACTTAGGGAGCAGCACTGGCTTCCATGAGGAGGGAGGATTAATTGTCTTTTCCTTCCATTGGCAGTGGTTCACTGTGTTCGTAGTCATAATGGGGAAGATAGAGGGGACCTTTTACTGCATTATCGAGGCTCCAGGGATCTGGCTTGCCTGACAAATAGGTAGTGCTCTATGGACAATATACTGGTATTGATTCAGCTAAAGGTTTGGCTAAATTGGACATTGATAGGACTGCAGGGTTCATGTTCTTTGGCAGTAGTCAGGATTGTAGCCAAAATCGTGTTCAGAAATGTCTGGAGGAGCAGCGTGGGAGGGTTCAGACTCCCAAAGACCCTGCAGGGGAGACTTCAATTAAGTCATTCCTTGCTACAGAGGAACAGCAGTTTGGGGTGCCACCTTCTCACTGGCAAGGAGCAGACAAGAGGGGTGGCACACTTAGAGCTCAGCAGCCAGGTCAGTGGAAAGCTGGAGCTACCAATGGAGCTGTGCTCATTCGCACCTCTCTTCCTCTTGAAAACTTGGGCCAAAGCATTGCACAAGCCCTTGCTGCCCAGCAGTGCTTCCTGCTTCTGAGAGTTGCATTACTTCACTGGAGAGCACTCCAAACCTCTCCTTTCCACTTCACCCCTGCAGCACACCGATTCTTGAGGATCCTCCCTCAGCAGGGTTCTTTCAGACATCTTTCTAATGACCTGATTTAACATGTAATTAAGCGTTTGCTGCAACAGCATGAAAACCAAGCCCAAAACAATCAGGGGTGACAGAGACAAAGGCTAAGACTAAATCCATCTCTCACATCCCTTGTTAACAGACCCGGTATTAGGATAAAGCTTACGTGCTGTGGTTCATGGATAGATGCCTGACCCATGTATGCCTACCTTACTCGACAGCACGCACCTATTTATTACTGTCAGAGATCCATGGGCGGTACTCATTCTAAGGGGAAAATTGCCTGCCTCAAGCAGCTCGCTGCACAAGTTGGGCAACACGCATCCAGCATGCAGTACATTCAAAAGCTAGAAAGCAAAGTCCTACAGTAATGCAGATGCCTTTTGTTTTGTAATGTTGCACATTTCACCTAGTAGTCCACCATGGAAAAGATAAGTGGGAGAGTTGTTTAGTACGGTCATGGCATTTTACTGCTTTTAAGGCTGCCAAAAGAGTGCAGGGCTGCACAGTACAGCTGTCACGTTGTTCTTTGAAGGGTTTTTTGGCAACTTTATTTGTAACCGTATTGGAGAGTGCTGAGGCATGGGCAGAGGTTATGCCCATTTCAGTGCTAGGTGGGTAAAGCATCAGCTATTTGTGTTGTCTTTGCGTTGAGAGGCCACTGGAAATTCAAAGTGGTGCATCATATCAGAAAAATAGCCTATGCACTAAAATACAAATCGTTGCATGGATACCACGTTAACAGTTAATACATAGCAGTCACACCAACACCTTATCACACATGATGCTGGTTTGTAAGGGTGATATCTTCATGGTATCCAGTGTAGAAAATTAATTATCCATGTTATTACAAAGATATTAGCAATTAAAGTATTACATATGCAGATGTGAAGTTTTGCAAAATAAACTGTAATCGAGTTATTCATAGTTTTACAGTAATTCGGGGTCAGAAGGGACCTGAACAGATCATCTAGTCTGACCCCCCCGTCACTGGTAGAAGTACACGCTGAGATCACACAACCCCAGACAGGTGTTCGTCCAACCTCTTTTTGAATTTACCCAAGGTAGGAGTGAGGACTACTTCCCTAGGAAGTTGGTTCCAGGTGCTAGCCCTATCCTATCCCCTATCTTGGGGATAGTACTGCGAGGCCTCAGGTCTGCGCAGATGTAGTTAAGGATCTATGTTATGAAAAGTAACCCTGTTAACAATTAGACAATAGAAGATAGTGGGAATCTTCAAAATCCATAAGACGTGTGCATTTGCTGTCGTTGTGCAGCACACATTCTTCAACCCTCGTAGTTGCACATTTTTAATTATTCCCCTCTCCCCAGCTCAGGGGTAGCATGTTTCAGACATTGTTTTGTATGTTAGGAAGGTGTGTTATTCTCCGTGATGACTTAAATAAGCGGTGTGTGCCTGTCTTCATATTAAGGGGCTGTGTATAAAATCAGATTTCTTCATGTAAACTTTGTGGCTGTGAATTATTCATAAAGACCTCGACGGCTATATGGTTTGCATCATACAGGATATAAGATTTATTAATTTGTGAGACCATGAAGTGTTTGTTATTCCAGATCAGAGCATGTTTTTTTTAACCCTGTCAGCTCTTCCTACGTAGGAATTTGTGATCACCAAAGAGAGGTGGCCTCGTTTCCTTTCACTAATGGGACTGGATTAACATGTTGCAAATGTAGTCTTATCTTCCTCTCATTTAATTAAGGGCAAGTAGCTCCCAGTTCCTTTACCTTTTGTTCCCATGGTCAGATTCTGCCCAGACGCGGTGCTTTTGCCCTCTCTTTATCTCTCTTGGCGCAGGTCTCTCTCATTTGGCAACAATCAAGCTTAAGTTGCTGCTACTTCATGTTCTGAATGGACATTTATTTGTTAATATTGTCACATGCAGCAACAGGGTTTTTAAGCATACAAAAGCCAGAGAAAGCACATGCTCTTTGTTGTAAAAATATATAAAAAGAAAGTGAGGCTCTTCCAGAAATGACCTTGGTAAAATATGAGGAGATGGCTATTTTACTGTCAGGCTTTCAGACTAGGATGTTTGTACTATGCTAAAAAGTCCCCATCAAAGCAAGTTAAAATCACATCATCAGGAATGAGCAAAAATATGATTGTGTCCAATAACATGATTTTATCTAGTTTGACTGCTGCACTTATTATATTAATAAGAATAAATTGGGGCTTGGAAGCTGGCCGTACATGTAAACTGAGCTTGTGACCTTTTATCAGAGTTCGTTTCTCTTAATTGAGAGAGCGCACGTAGTAAGAGTTGTACCTCCTCCCTACACACCCTGCCTTCCTCCAAATCAATGGGATCCTGAAAGCAAAATGAAAATCTCATTTAAAAAGCTAAAGCAGTCCAAGTTTCTGGGGGGTGGGGAAGTGCTGTTTAGAGGGATGCCTGGAGCCAAATACAAGGCACCCTTTTATATTTAGAAAATACGTTGATTATAAAACAATGTAAGCTAATAGCTATTTTTTGTCGTTTGTCAGATTTACGGTTTTGTAGCAGAAGGAAACAGGCTGTGGTCCACAGAGGGTTTGTTAATTTTGGACCTGTATGTTTTTAGCAAGTGTGAATTTTATATAAAACATTTCCAATGCAGGCCTAGCCAGTGATACTGGATACTTTCTGCAGCCATGTTGCCCTAGCAACCACCCCGAACTATAATTTCTAAGGCTGCTGACCCATGAATCGAACACAGGGCTTATGCAAATATATTCATCTAATTTTTTTCTTTCTTTGTATTTGCTAACATCAGACTGGCATAAAAGGGCATTAGGCAGTACCACAACCCGTCTGACAGGTGTACTATCTGGCTGTGGCAGCGCAGCCGCT